TGGCTGAAGAGAAATTAGTGGATCAGATTTCTAATCCATGTGCAAATGCTCCAGAAAACATTGGTTTTTAGAGTTTTGCTTATTAGCTCGAGGACTTTAATAAATTGAGCATTAAATAAATAAACCAACAAAAACTCAGAGGAGCTAGAGATAGGTTATAGCCTGGGACTCTTTAAGGGAAGTGGCATCTCCGGAAAGGGAATTTTTGCTCCACAATCGCAGATGATATTGGGGGGGTGAGGGGGCTGCTTGTGAGGGGAACATGTTCAGTTTGGCTTAAGAAAAGTCTGCTCAGCCACATCTACTGGGCACCAGGCTTGTGCTGAGTAATGAGAACTCGGGATGAATCAGGCCCCTGTCCCAGGACATTCAGAGCCTTGAGGGCAGACAGACATGGGTGTGATACTCAGATCACAGGGCAAGGTGGTGACCAGCAGTGAAACACTTGGATGCATGGAGCAGGGAGGGGGTATACAGTGATGCTGCCATGTGACCTTGAACGCGTCACCTGCCCTCTGCACCTTGATGTGCTCATCTGTAAAATGGGAGGGAAGCAGTCTTCCTTTGAGGGCTCTGGGTTTACTGCGGTGATGCAGGAGATGATAACTGAGCTTTAGCAGTGCTCAGACATGTTAATGAGACAGACAGAGAATCCAGCTCAGGCCACACAGAAGCGAGAAGGCCCGATCTAGAACCCAGGTGGTCACGAGAGGGAGGGAGGTAGGGTTGGGACAGGTGTCAGGGATGCTTCTCTCCGGAATCTCAGAGACTCCAACGAGGGGGCTGGACAAAGGCATGTTGGGCCCAGGTGGAACAAGAGAAGGGCAGACACCAGCTCTTGGAGCGTATCCTTGGTTCTGTGCCGGCCCTCCCAGCAACGCCATAGGTAGATGCCATCGTTCCCATTTCTCAGATGAAGAAGTTGAGGCTCAGAGATGTTCAATGTCTTGACCAAAGTTATGGAGCCAGGATGGAACCCCAGGCTGCCTGCTCCAGCCCCACTCCTCCCAGAGCCCCTCCCAGATGGCTCTGCTGCCCCAGGGGCCCCCACCAGACCAGGTTGGGGGTGGGGACTGCCTCTCCCTGCTGCACAGGCTGAACAGGACTGTCTTGGTTGGTTCGGCAAACATTCATTGCTCACCTTTTTGTATTCAGGGCCTGGTGCTCAGAGGTGACCCAGGGGCAGGTGGACCTGGAAATATTCAGAGTCCCTAGTATCTGTGCTACAATTGGGGGTCGGGGGGGGCGGGGTATGAGGATAGGGAACTCAGAGGGATGCATCCGCTAAGACTGGAGAGGAGACACCCAGGCCAAGTCCTTCCAGATCAGCAGGTGTTTGGGGGCAGACGGGAAGCACAGGGCATGGTGACCCAGCAGTAGGAAGCGGGAGGAAAGGCTTGGCCGTTTACACGGAAAATGGGGAGGAGGACTGTGTGGGTGACCAGCGAGGCCGTGTGCCTGTGATGTGGCCACAAAGCTGCCCTCTAGATTCGGTGTGTGGAAGGGGGCGCAAGGGGGGAAGCGGGATGAGGGACACTGAGAGGGCCGGCAGCGGGCGGGGGAAGCCAGGCAGCTCCTCCTGGGCCAGAGCTTCTGAGCCTCCCGGTACCCAGCATGCCCTGACCCCAGGGCCCCCCCATCCCTTCCTCCCAGCCCCAGTGCGGGCAGCAGGGACACGCCCGTCTGGAATCGCTAACACAATTTTGAGGAGCAGGGACTATTGTCCCCATCTTACAGATGAGGAAACAGACTGACTTGCCCAAGGTCACAGAGTCACAGAACCAGGGAGTGGTTGAGTGGGAATTGAGGTCAGGGCCAGGCTCCAGAGCCCCTGGGGGCGGAGGTAGAGCAGCGGGAGGCTCTCCATGCTGACTCACTCTGCCCCTCTAGTCCGCATCGGAGACATCCCTAGAGAGGCTTCTGGCCTCACACAGCCTGCGCAGCCCCTGACCACTCCGTCTGCGCTCGCCGCTTTGTGCTGACAACTTACTGCACCTTCACACGGAGAAGCAGGCAGTGTTGTCAAGCCCATTATACAGGTAAGTAAACTGAGGCTCAGAGCGAGGACATCACTTGCCCCGTCACTAGCCAGCAGTGGTGGAACCAGGCATGGAGCCCGAGTCCGTCTGATGCCAGTGCCACCCCTCCTGTGGCTGGGTCTGCTTCTCCGCGCTGCTGCCACCAACCCCTCCACGGTGGGAGGGACTGAGGGAAGGAGTGGGGGCTCACGCAGAGGAGGGGACCCCGCTGGTGCCCCAGCCCCTCCCACGCAGCTCTCACCCCTGCACGATAGACAAAGGCACCCCGTAATTGGGAGCGAGTATTTCATGTGTCCCCCCTGATGTTTTATTGGGAGGAGAGATGCTCAGAGACCTAACGGATGGCACATTCGGTTTATAAAGTGCGCGCCGTTTGTTTTATTTCCCGAGTTTTTGCAATCTAGATAACAGATGATGCCCCGAGTGGCTGGCGCTGCCGCAGTAATGGCGGCACTGAGCCTTTGGAGAAGTATTAATAATAGATTGTGTTGATGAGTTTGGAGAAAGTAGCAATCGACCCCCTGCTGCCAAGGCATTAGCAGGGCTGTTCTGAATGCGCCTGCACGGTGGCAGTGCCCGGTGGCAGTGCCTGCAAATGCGGGTCACCGCCCGCCCGCAGCCCCTCTCCCCACCTAAGCAGGCCTCCTGGGGAGCCCCGAGGTGCTGACCGCCGCCTGAGCCTGGGCCTGCCATGCTGGCATGGAGGTGGCCGCTGCCTGTCCACTCGTGGGCCACAGAGGCGGCTGCAATCCTTACTGGGGCCCCTGGGACACCAGGTCAAGTGTGGGGACCGGACAGAGGGACAGTGAGGGGGCAGGACAGACTTGTCCTCCGTGTCAGAGCAGCGAGTTTGCAAACCTGGCTCCTTCGCTCCCTCGCCAGCCCCTCAGCAGAGCTGGGCGGGGCCTCTGCCTGAGGCTGCCATGGACAGCTGGGTAGGTTGTACCCTGAACAAAGCTCTCCAGCCAAAGGGCCAAATTAGAGCCCACAACCAGGCCAGGTTCTTCCTGCAGAGTCCCCCACCGTCTGGGCTGGGGGTCCCGTCTGCCTGGAGCCTCAGCCCACCCCACACCTTCACTCACCTGCGTCACGAACCCTCAGGGCCTCCCTGAGGTCCCGGTGGAGTGAGGTCCTGCCCGAGGAACCGGCGCAGAGCTAACGGGCAGTGCGGTCCCTCCCACGTGACCCTCGTTCGCCAAGTTACATGCCCAGTGTCACTGGATTCTGACAACAGCCCTTTGAGGGATGCTCTGTGACTCCCTGTTTTATGGGAGAGGGGACTGAGGCCAGAGAAGCTCAGGTGAGCATTGAGGCCACCTTCCCAAGACCGGGCCAGCAAAGAAGGCTTCCCAGAGGAAGTGGCATTGGAGTTGGGCATCGCAGGATGAATAGGAGCCTGCAGGGTAGGATGGAGGGGGTGGCAGGGTTGCTGGGGATGCCCCCAATTTGAGTGCCCGGGCCGGTGCCGGGGGCAGCAGGCAGATGGGGCCTGGCCCTGTCCCCTGCATCTTAGCAGCTCACTGTGGGCGGCGCTGACGGCAGCCCCGGGGAGGGAGGCAGGCCAGGCCTCGCGTTTATGGCTGTTCCAGAACCGATTAGTAGAGAATTGCAGCTGTAATCTGCGCCTGCGATGGCGGGCCATAAAGAGGGATGGGATGTGCACAGCGCTCCCAAGGTGGCGCCCACAGACGTGGCCCGGGGACACGGGGAATGAAAAATGGTTTTAATTCCCTCCCAGCAGCAATAATTTGATTCTTCATAAATTTTTCCATCAAAGTGTTGTTGGGGCTGAGTTCCCACAGAGCAGAGCACGTGATAGGGATGGGCGGCCAGAGGAGCGGTCAGTAGCTGCGGGCAGAGGAGGGGCCATGCTGCTCAGACCCTTCTGCACACGCGGGGCCGGGGCCGGGGCCCCCAGCGGGCTGTGCATCCCGGAGGGGAAAGGGATCCGCGTTGTCCTGGGGGGACCCGAATAGATCCAGGCTCAGCGTGGGCTCCATCGTTTACTATCATGTGACTCTGAGCAAGTGACTCCAGCGCTGAGCACCTCAGTTTCCTAATCTCTAAAATGGGATTAGTATTCCGCCCGGTCCCAGAGGGGTGCCGCGAGGATCAAATGTGTTTCTGCAGGCAGAGTGCTTAGAGCAGCAGCTGGCCTGCTGTGCATGCTCAGTAAACACATCACTTCATGGTAGCAATGCTTAAGCTGAACAGAGGGATAAGTGGGTGTTAGCTAAGCCCAGGGCCAGAGAAAGAAAGAAAGGCAGTGTTGGGGTGCTCTGGAGAGGCACAGCCTGGGGGAGCAGGGGTGGGGGGAAAAGAGGCAGGATCGTGAAGGGCCGCGAGTGCCAGACTCAGGAACCTGATGTTCTCCCAAGGGCAGTAGGGAGCCATGGAAGAGTCTAGAGCAGGGAAGCAGCTTGACCGGGTGAGTGTTTTAGGCAGATCTTTCTGGCTCTCATCCTGGAAGGTAAAGGGTTGGAGGGGCCAGGAGCCCAGGGAGGGGACTGGAACAGTCACTCAGAAAGGAGAAGAGGGGCCCATGCTGGGGGTAGGTTGGCCAGGGTGGGAACTGCTTGGATGTGAGGGTGGTGGAGGGGCAGGGAGGAGGCAGAGCAGATCCTGGGGCGAGGGTGGATGGACCTGTGGGTTGCCTGCCCTTCCCCTCAGGCTGGGGCCAACCTGGGAAAGGTTAAGGCTAACCTTGTACTCTGCCCTCTAGTGGCCACTGTGTCTCTGAGTGGAAAGGGCCCTGAGCTGACATACGGGAGAGGGCACCTCTGGGCAGGATGCCCAGTGCCCACCCTGAGGTCACGGACCCTCCCCATGTGGCTCCGTGCCCAGGGAGGGCTCCTCCCACTTGGGCTGGAGGGTCAGGGTGGTGGGAGAGGCTCTCCATAGGCAGTGGCCTCTGGGAGGGACCCCGAGCCCAGCTGACGTGCCCGCTCTGTGCACCCGCAGGCTCTTCGCGGCCAAGTGCAGCGGCTGCATGGAGAAGATCGCCCCCACCGAGTTTGTGATGCGGGCGCTGGAGTGCGTGTACCACCTGGGCTGCTTCTGCTGCTGCGTCTGTGAGCGGCAGCTCCGCAAGGGCGATGAGTTCGTGCTCAAGGAGGGCCAGCTGCTGTGCAAGGGCGACTACGAGAAGGAGAAGGACCTGCTCAGCTCTGTGAGCCCCGATGAGTCTGACTCCGGTGAGCCCGGCTGGAGCTGGGGGGGGGGGACGGGGGGGGGCGGGCAGGCGGCAGGGTGAGGGACTGGGCAGGGCGCTGGGGGAGGGCTGGCATCTCTGGGACCCACGACTCTGGGGCATGGAGTGGCAGTGGACATGGTATTGCGGGTGTGTCTCTGGGTGAATACACATGCTCTGCATGCGTGTGCGTGCGTGCCTGGTTGTCCTGCCTGTGCGCATGCGCCTGTGTGTGTGGAGATGTCTGTGAGCTGCATTGCTCGAGCCTTGGTGGGCCCACGTGCCAGTCTGTATGTGTGAGTGCTGGTGGGTGAGTGTGCGTGTGTGTGTGCCTGTCTGCCTGTCATGGTCATGAATACTCTCCTGTGTGAGAACATCTGGAGCACGGTCCTTGCCTGTCAATTCTTAGTCCCTGGAAGCTTCCAGAAGGTTCTCTGGGCCCTGGGGCCTGGCTGGTGCTGGGCTGGCAGAACTGGTTTTCTCCAAGGTTGGCCCCTAGCCTGGGGTCTCCAGGTGCCAGAGGCCATGGCAGGTGTTGGCGGGAGGCAGAGGCTGAGGCACTTGGATCCCATCAGGCGGCTGACAGGCTGGGTTGTGTCCCCACAGTGAAGAGTGAGGACGAGGATGGGGACATGAAGCCTGCCAAGGGGCAGGGCGGCCAGAGCAAGGGCAGCGGGGATGACGGGAAGGACCCCCGGAGGCCCAAGCGACCCCGCACCATCCTCACAACGCAGCAGCGAAGAGCCTTCAAGGCCTCCTTCGAGGTCTCCTCCAAGCCCTGCCGGAAGGTGAGAGGCGGGGGGTGGGGTGGGGTGACCACACCAGCTGCCTTTCCAGACACCACCCTGTCCATGCTGCCTGGGGACGGGGATGTCCCTCCACCTCCTGCTCATCCATCCATCCCCAGCCCACCACCTCCCCGGGCCTGACCTGCCTCCCTCTCTCCCTCTCCTGGCAGGTCCGCGAGACACTGGCAGCAGAGACAGGCCTCAGCGTGCGCGTGGTCCAGGTCTGGTTTCAGAACCAAAGAGCCAAGGTGAGAGGCCACCGGCCCCTGCCCCCGCTGGGCAGAGTGGAGGGGGCTGCGGGCAGGAGACAGAGGGCCTGGTGTATGGGGGAACTAATGGGGGAGGTAGGGGAAGGGTGGGGACTGGCATGAACTGTGTCTCCCACAGATGAAGAAGTTGGCACGGCGGCACCAGCAGCAGCAGGAGCAGCAGAACTCTCAGCGGCTGGGCCAAGGTGAGCCGGGGCCGGGGCCGGGGCAGGGACCAGGGGGCCTGGCTCCATCACTCACACCAAGACGCCCAAGGAACCTTCCCCAAGGCTGTCAGCTCAGGGCACAGCTGCCTTGGAACCAGCTGAGCCCAGTGAAGCCGAGAGGTGGCAGCGACCACAGGACGCAGGAGGAGTGGCAGTGACCACAGGACGCAGGAGGGGGGCAATGACCACAGGACGCAGGAGAGGTGGCAGTGACCACAGGACGCAGGAGGGGGGCAGTGGGGTGGCAGTGACCACAGGACGCAGGAGGGGGGCAGCGACCACAGGACGCAGGAGGGGTGGCAGCGACCACAGGACGCAGGAGAGGTGGCAGTGACCACAGGACGCAGGAGGGGGGCAGTGGGGTGGCAGTGACCACAGGACGCAGGAGGGGGGCAGCGACCACAGGACGCAGGAGGGGTGGCAGCAACCACAGGACGCAGGAGAGGTGGCAGTGACCACAGGACGCAGGAGGGGTGGCAGCGACCACAGGACACAGGAGGGGTGGCAGCGACCACAGGACGCAGGAGGGGGGCAGCGACCACAGGACGCAGGAGAGGTGGCAGTGACCACAGGACGCAGGAGAGGTGGCAGTGACCACAGGACACAGGAGAGGTGGCAGCGACCACAGGACGCAGGAGGGGTGGCAGCGACCACAGGACGCAGGAGAGGTGGCAGTGACCACAGGACACAGGAGGGGTGGCAGCGACCACAGGACACAGGAGGGGGGCAGTGGGGTGGCAGTGACCACAGGACGCAGGAGGGGGGCAGCGACCACAGGACGCAGGAGGGATGGCAGTGACCACAGGACGCAGGAGGGGTGGCAGGTGGGCAGCCGGGGGGTGGCAGACGTCCTGATGTTAAAACCGCAGTCCTCTGCTCCCTGTCACCGTGTGCCAGACACCGAACTCGTCACGTGACACACTCCATCTCAGTTCTCACAGGTCCCCGTGAGGAAGGGCGTTGCCGTGTCCTATTTCACAGATGAGGCTGGGCTCAGTGAGACAGGGCCCGTTGGGCAATAAGGGACAGAGCCGGCCTCGCCTCTACGGGGCTCCCAAGCTGGTGCGCACCCTGACCTCAGGCCCCGCTGCCCACAGCGGAGTCTCCAGAGAATGCATGGTGTGGAGGAGTCCGGCTGGGCTCCTGCTGGACGGGGAGGGGCTCGTTAAAGGGGCAGGAGGCAGCCCCTCCAACACTGGGCTTTGCCAAAATGCCAGGCTGGTCTCCCAGGCCTCAGGGGGACACGGAACCTTCAGGCCTTGAAGGGAGGCACGGGGACTCTCTGGGGCACTGAAGTGGGTGGGGACCCCGAGCTGCCTGCTCTGGAGTGAGGCAGGGGCTCCCGGCAGATGCCGGGCCCTTCGCTCAGGACTTCGGGGGCCAGTGTCCCAGGCTGACCCAGGGCTTCAAGGCCATGGCCTCGGGGCCCAGCTCTTCCCCGCTGCTCCCTCTGCCCCTCTCCCCGGACAGTGGATTCCGGAGGCCGCAACCACTGCCTCGTCTCCCAGGCAGCACAGGAGGTGTGCCCCTGGGGTTCCCAGCAGGCCCCCAGACTCAGCTGCCCCCTCTCGAGCCTGTCAAACCCTTGTTGGTTCTTTAAGTCACATGGGGGTGAGGCCCCTTCGTCCAGGAAGCCTTTTCTGGGCCTCCTTGGCCGGGGTTCCTGCCCCACCTGGATGCTCCCAGATGCAGGCGCTCACTGCACCCACACGCTGACTCATCACCGCCTGCCTAGGTGTCTCCCAGAGGCGTGAGCTCCTGGAGTGCAGGGCCTTTGGAGGATGGGGGAGTGGGGGGCGCCTCTGGCTTCTGAGAGGCTGGTTCTGGAAGAGGAGCTGGAGTGTGTGTCTGGGGAGGGGGGGTGGGGCTCGGAGAACTGGGCTCCGTGTCCTGTGGGCCCAGGAAGGCCACAGGCAACCTCAGCTGCAGGGTGTGGGTGTCCCCGGGGAGGCCTGGAGAAGGTCGGAGGGACGCCGTGGGTGGCCAGGGGTAGGTAGGAGGTCTGTGGGGACCCTGGGGCTGCACCTGTAGGGGCTCCTGGGGTACAGAACAGGGCGGGCAGGGCCTGGCGGTGACGGCGTGCTCTGCCCCCAGAGGTCCTGTCGAGCCGCATGGAGGGCATGATGGCCTCCTACACGCCGCTGGCCCCGCCCCAGCAGCAGATCGTGGCCATGGAGCAGAGCCCCTATGGCAGCAGCGACCCCTTCCAGCAGGGCCTCACGCCACCCCAAATGCCAGGTGACCACATGAACCCCTATGGTAAGCTGCCCCACCCCCTCCCGCCCCAGCACCACCCCTGCCCCCTGCCTGGCCTGGCGGCCTGGGGCCATGGCAGCCACCCCACCCCAGGGCCTGCAGCCCCTGCGCCTCCCCCCGACAGGAAGGGGGCCCTCGAGACCCTGCCTATGGCCCAGCCCCTCTGCTCAGGAGCTGCTGGCAGGTCATCCTGCCGCCCCCTCACCTCCAGCCACAGCCTGTAGGCCGACAGGGTCCCCAGGAGCCTCAGCCCTCACCCCCCTCCTGACGCCCCTCTGCCCCCCAGGGAACGACTCCATCTTCCACGACATCGACAGCGATACCTCCTTAACCAGCCTCAGCGACTGCTTCCTCGGCTCCTCCGACGTGGGTTCCCTGCAGGCCCGCGTGGGGAACCCCATCGACCGGCTCTACTCCATGCAGAGTTCCTACTTCGCCTCCTGAGAGCCAGCTGGCCGCACGGACACTGGGGCTCGGGTCCTGGGGTGGGACCGCGGACCACAGCGGCCAGCCCCACCCTCCTGGCCCCGCCACCCGCACAGACTCTACCGACAGCCATATGGTGCCCTCCCCTCGGCCAGCCGGGCCTGGCTGAAGTGCCCGCTGGGCACAGCCGGACAGGCAGTTGAGCACAGCCTGCGCAGGGCTGTGTCCTGCCCACACAGACCGTGTCACCCCCAGGGACCCAGAGCTCTCGGACAGCCACTCGCCTCCTCGCCCCACCTCGGCCTCCATCGCCTCCTCTGTCCCCATCTTTTTTGGGAAGCTTAAATTCTCTCTATTTTTTTAACATCCTCTCTGTGTCCCGCCAAGCTCCATGGCCCAGGCTTAGGCCAAGGCAGCGCCCCGTGCAGGCCCCAGGATGATTCGCGCGAGGCCTGTTACCTGTGAGAAACTACCGTACCCTGTGCGGGCGCCCGCCCCCCCCCCACCCCCACCCCCACCTCTGAGGGCAGGCCTGGGGCCGAGGGTCACCCCTCCCAGCCAGAGCAGGGGCAGAGGTGGGGAGGAGCCAGCCAGGTGCCAGGCCCACCATGGCTCTGCCCTGGGGGGAGTCACTGGGGAGGGAAGACGGAGCCAGGCAGACCTGAGGGCCAGAGACACACGTGCAGATGCGCACACACTAACGGCACACGTGCGGATATGCACAGAGACGTAGAGACACTGAAGGAGACAGCGGCTTCTGCGGAGCAGTCCTGCCTGGTCAGGAAGGGGAGAGAGGCCAGGCTGGGAGGGAGCCCCTCCTCATATAGTGAAAGGAGAGGAAGCGGGGAGTCGGGGGGAGGAGGGGAGAGGATGGGGGCCTCCTCAGCCCAGAAGGAGGCTGGTCTCCTGAGCACACAGGGCGGCCACCAGCCAGCTCCAAGGGCAGAGACAGAGCTTAGAACCAGGCAGAGCTGGGCAAAATGGCAGAACCTCCAGGCGGGAAGGACCTCACAAGTGACAGGAGCCCAGCCAGCTGCCCTTTTCTGCTGATCTTACCTCCGCCTTTTTCAGCCCCGAGTCCTTGCTTCTCCAAGCCAGGCTTTTCCAGTTTCCTCCGCTCTTCCTCTTAAAACTGTCCCCACAGCTGGGCTCCAGCTTTCCTTCTAAAGGCGTGGAGTACAGATAGCCCAGTCTTCCCACGGACATCCGCCAGCCAAAGTGTGCAGGCCCTTCACCTCCCCAGTGTTCGGTGCCCTGCCTTTGTTAATGTGGCCCGAGATCCAGTGAATGGTTTAGGCCGCATAAACTTGGAAACTCGCCCTGCCCTTCTGTAAGTGAATCCAGGGACCATCACACACAGGAGAGCTCAGCCCCCTCTCTCTTCTCTGTGTGGGGGGGCAGGGGGAGGATTTGGACCCTCAGGGCCTCTCCCTGTTTGGCGTTGGCCCATTAACCAGCCCTTCTTGGGTGATGCATTCCTACTGCACCTCCAGCCCTGTTTGGGAGCTGCTGGAAGCCAAATACACTATGTCAGCCCCCACCCTCAGTGCACGCAACTCTAACCCCGCCAAAGGGGAAGTGAGGTCAGGCTGATGGTCCCTACGCTCATTGACCCCTGGACGTCCCCGTGTCCTCAGCCAGGTGCTCACAGCCCTGCCCTTAATTCTGACTCAGAGCCCTAGGCTGCCACCCAGAGGTCTGCTTGTCCGGCCTTTGCACAAATGGGACGATGGTTGACTGTCTTTGGGCTGCTCTTCCTGGCCCTCTCGGGGATCCTCACTGTTCCCCAAGCTGCTCTGTGGTTTTGCTCCTCTGTCAGCAGGGGAAACCTCAGCCTTTCCGAGACCTGGGCCCATCTCCCACCCCTGCTGGCTCCTGTGTGCAAACCTAACCCGGCTCTCTCCAGGGCAGCTGGCCGAGGGGGACCAGGCGCCGCCCCCGCCCCCCCCTCGTGCTAAGCAGCCAGCCTGGCCCTTGTGGGCTCATGCTCCACACAGAACTTCCCTGGGGGCCTCAGTTGATGGCCGCGGTCCATCTGCAGCCTCAGCCTTCCTCTCTTATCTCCTGGTCCCGGCAGCCATGCTGGTTTCTGGAGAGATGCCGCCCTTTCTCCTTCTGCATCCACACAGTCTGACAATGGCGGGGGCGCTTGGGCAGGGCCAGGCGTGGAGGCCCTTGGGACACCTGCCCTTCTCTCCCAGGCTCTAAGTTGGAAGGAACCTCAGGAATGGGTCATCTTGTCCAGCCCCTCCCCCTGGGAGAGGGGAGAGGACCCACCAGCCCCCTGACAACCAGTCAGTGACAGCCAGAGCTGAGCCCAGGGTCAGACTTACTCTGCCCAGCCCTGGGCCAGAGGTGGGGACACAGATGAGCATGATGTAGGGCCCACCTACATGGAGATGTAGGGGTCTCTCTCCTGAAGAGGCGTACACACTCTGTCCCAGACCTTGTTGGGGACCCATTTCTCAGATGAGGAACCTGAGGCCCAAAGAAGGGAGGCAAGTGCTCAGGGTCACCCAGCAGAAGCACACAGCACCGGCAGGCTCGCTGGGGCCTGGGGCAGGCCGAGGGGAGCAGGCTCTTCCCGCTGCATGGGTGGAAGTGCAGCCTTGACATGGGGGGCAGTGAGTAGTCAGGACCCCCGTCCCCTCCAGGGTGAGGGACCATCATCACTGTGGGGGTGGGGTGGGGAGGGGGAAGCCCGAGGGAAGAGAGAAGTAAGAATCTGGTCTCTGGAGGAAGAGGCAGGAAGTGAGTGGCGGGCAGGCAGGAGACTGCTGGGGAAGTTGAGACTCAGAGAGAAGAAGGAATCTATCCCAGGTGACAGCGAGTGAGGGCAGAGGAGGGACAATGAGGTGGGCTAGTGCCACCAGCCAGAGCCTCGTCTGCCTTCTCCATGGACAGAGGGACCCAGTGGTTCCCAGGGTCAGACCCGGGGTCCCACAGAGCCTGTAAGAGAAGGGGTTGGTGCAAGTGGGTTAGCCATCCCGGAAGGCTTCCTGGAGGAGGTGGAGGTGGGGGCTGCAGATCAGCAGGATCAGGCCCACAGCATGAGGCCGGGGCAGCCTCTTCTCCTTTAGGGGCTCACCTGCCTTGCCCACTCCCCTGGAGCTGGCGGCCCTCACTTCACACACACACAACCTTGGAGGAGGGAGAGCTGGCCGAGCCCTGCCTGGCCCCACCTGAGCTCTGGGCACTACCCGGGGTGAGGATCTCACCTCCCGCCTGGGAGAACCCACAGCTCTGGGGCTCACTGTGCCCTGTGGGGAAGGAGTCTACGCTCACGCACGCACATGGACACGCACACTCACACCCGGACGCACATGGAGGCTCACAGGCCCACACTCCCGGGCACACACAGCCTGGGGGCTGGGGAGCAGGAGGACCGACCCTCCAGCCTGTGGCCCTTGGGAGGGGCCATTTCCAATGAGCCTCTTTGCTGGTGCCCCCCACCCCACTGGGGTTCCCCCAGGAGCCCAGCCTAGCTGGGTGTGGGAACCGGGCCACTGGCCATTCCTCTGTTTTCCTTGTACAGACTCTCACTGCCCACCCACCATCCCCAGACACATTTTATTTAATAACTTGTCATTGTTAAATTATTTATTAGCGTTTACCACATCACCAGCCCCACCCTGCCCTCCACTCTCACCTTCCGCTCTCCCCACAAAAGCAGAAAATGGAAACAACAACAACAAAAATGAGACATCAGTATATTTGTAAATAAACCAACCTGTACACGCCTGTGGTGACTCTCCTTGGGGGGAGGGGGGTGCTGTGCTGGCTGAGACAATAGCAGATTTCGTGATGGCTGCCAGGGACAGCAGGTCAAGGAGGAGGGCTTGGGGTCCCTAGTCTTGCCCAACCCATTCTCTTGTCCTATTTCATAATCCTCATCTCTCCACCCTTGTCCTGTCCCAGTCTTGAACCATCTCCATCCTTAAACACATCCATCTCATTCCCCAACACTCATTCATTCATTCATCCAACCAATAGGAAGAGCCCCTTAAGTGCCAGCTGTCAGGCTAAGAACTAGGGATTGCTGGTCCCTGACTCCAGGAAGGAGTGTTATATGAGCTCAGTTGCGGTACAGTAAGGCCTTGTTACAGGGTTCCTGACCTCATCTGGAGGGGTGGAACATCATGGAGGGCTTCCTGGAAGAAGCTACATGTCGAGCTGAGATCCAAAGTTATCCAGCATGGCAGGACTGGATGAGAAGGAGAAATGTCTGGGAGTGCTCAGACTTGTACAAAACCTCACAGGCAGGCAAACTCGAGTGAGTTTCCTAAACCCCAAGAATAGCTAAGTTTGGGGGGCGGAGGAGAAGTAATGAGGCTGGAGGCAAGGCTAGACCCTCCAATTAGGTCAGGTGGACTGGAGGGGGCCAGGGAGGTCAATTGAGTCACCTTTCTCACCTAGGTGAGAGGTGACACGGCTTTGACTAGGGCAGCAACAGTGGGGAGGAAGAAGAGGGGCAGATTCCCAAGATGTGGGTGCGCCAGGGAAGCCAAAGCAACATCTAGGAACCCCATCCTGGAGCCCTCTGGTCTGGGGTGTGCGGAGCTTTGGCTGAGACAATAGCAGATTTCGTGATGGCTGCCAGGGACAGCAGGTCAAGGAGGAGGGCTTGGGGTCCAGAGGAGGCATCCAAGGGAACATGTCCCAGAGCAGGGCTGGGCCCCCAAGGGACCAGAGGCTGAGCACCCAGGTGTTCACCAACCAGGTGGGTGAGCTCGCCCAAGGGAATGCGACACAGGAGAGTGAAGAAGCAGAGGCCAGGCCCTGAGTATCATGAGGACTTGGGGCTGGGTCAGGGGAGATGTGGCAGGGGTGGGGAATGGGTGGAGATGCAGAGCCTCTCAAAGTGTGTTCCTTACAGTCCCCAGGCTCCTCGTGTCCGTGTCCGTGTCTGTGTGTGTGTCTGTGTGTGTGTGTGTGTGTGTGTGTGTGTGTGTGTAAACAGCTCTGTGGGTCAGTCAGCCCAGTATACTGTGCATGGAGCTGGGTGTCTGTAGGTATCGGTGCATTGTGCACAGCTGGGTCTACCCGCAAGGCGAGATCTGCATATGGAGGTGTCTGTGCTGGTGAGGATGTCTGTCCACACATGGGTCTGTCATTGTACATCTGTCTGTCTGTGCATCCTGGAGGCTTCTGGGCCTCATGTCCACAGACCTGATGTCCTAAGATTCTCTCCCTGACCTCACCCCCTAATGCTCCTCTCCAGCTTCCCTTCCTCTGCCCGTGGGCACCAGCGCCCCCTGGAGGCACATGCTGCCCTGCACCCTTTTCTGCAGCCTCTGGGTGATTCACAGCCACATGGCTTCTGGGCATCTAGACATGTTGAGGCCCTCGCGTGCATTGCCTCCTGTGCACCCCACAACGCCCTGCGAGGCCGGCATTAAGTGTCAGGTTTCAGGAGGGAACCCCGAGGCTCAGAAAGAGGCGGCAACCGGGTCAGTATGACAAAGCTGACAAGGGCCACTGGAACCAGAGTTCAAGATCAGGTTTGGCTGCGAATGCAGGGCCTTGCCGCCACCCCCTGCCTCCCTAAGCCCAACTCTGGCCCTGCCATCTTGTCCTCCAAGGTCAGGCCCAGGGACCTGGGAGCAGGAAACTCTCTCCTGCCTTCAAAGTGGCTTCACTGAGGCCCAGAGACGTTAAGTCACTCGACCCGAGACTGCACAGCACAGAGACAGGACTAAACTGGGTCTTTGTGTCCAAGCCCCAGGCCCAGGCTTGTGAAAGTGGCCTCCAAGCCTCCCGCCCCCTCTCCCCAGCCCCTCAGTAGCGGGCTGCCAATCTCTTGCCTATAGCAACCACTTAAAATCCTGTCACTAAAAAATGTGGTGGGGGGGGGTATTAGAAGGGAAGGGCTGTGCTAATCCTTCGCTCTCTGCCCGGCCTCTCCCCCAGCCTAGAAAGTGAAGTCATGGGAAGGGGAGGAAATGCAGGCTGAGTCTCAGGAGACAGAGGGCGTGGGCTGCCTCAAGCAGGATAGACACTAGCCAAACTCCGGCCATCGCTAGTCACAGACTGCCCTGGGCTCAGTGATGCAGCGGCCTGCTGTCCAATGGCCGGCCTGCTGGACAGTTGGACAGGCGGAGAGGCGAGGCCAGGAGCCCGCCGGGGTCGCTCATGGCCTCTGTAAGCAGGGAGACTGGCTGCGCCCCATGCGCTGTGCTGAGCCTTACACATCTTGTTTCACTTTCTCCTCACAGCGTGGGGCGGGGACAATTGTAATGTCCACTTGACGGATGAATGCACTGCTCTCCCCAGTTCCCCCAGGAGCCCCCATCCTGCAGCCAGCGCTGCGCTGCCTTGATGCCCCCTTAGGCCTCCGAGTGTCCCAGACCCTGTTCCAGGCAGACAGACAGGGGAACTCTGTTATGGCTTTGACTTCAGAGCAAGCCCTGGGGCTTGACTGGAAAATGGAGACAGCCCAAGCCTGCCAACACACACACACACACACACACACACACACACACACGCACACGCACGCACGCACGCACACACCCCTCTACCCAGCCCCGACTGCTCATCCTCTTGATCTTTGTCCCGTTCATGGCAGACCCTCCCAGCCCCAGGCCTGCCTGGACAGCGCATAAGAATAAGTGACAAGAGAGGCATAAAGGACTCAGAGTAGGTGGGTGACAGGGTTTGTCAACTGTGCCTGGGAAATCAAGGAAAGCTTCCTGGAGGAAGGAACAGCCAGAACAAGTGCTCACAGGTGAGACCTGCAGGGCACCAGTGCGGCAGGGCACACCCAGGTTGCATTGAGGATCCAAGAGCCAGAGATGGCAGGAGGTGACATCCTGGTGCGTGCCAGGGGTCAGTCAGGCCCTTGGTGGTGGGAGGATGCCTTGCACATCCTCTTATTTAGCTGGGAATAACGTCACCACACAAAGATTTTGAATACTACAATGAGTATATGTGTCCTAAAGGACACTTATTTGTGTCCTAAAGAATAATCATAATTTTTAAAACTCCTGTGCGCACTCCTTAGGTAAAGAGAATGTACATTCTCAATTCCTTGGAGCCCTGATGTCCCAGGAGCATCTATTTCTTCACTTGGAAACTCTGGCCCAAATCAGAAAGGAGTGATGTACAGAAAGTTCTTAGCACAGAACCCGCGGGAATGTGCCCCGTGGCAGGCGGCCCGGCCTGCATCTCCCGCCTGCGGCAGAACCCCCAGGCGCCTTTCTAGGGCAGCACCCCACTTTCACGCCTCCCCTCCCTTATCAAAGCGTGGAGGACTTTGCTACTAAATCCCCACGACAGACCAGGAGCTACTTTGAATTTCCTACTAAACCTGCAGTTACCAGAGTCAGACCACGAGGTGGCGATCGAGAGTCAGGCAGGTGAACGCCCAAGCGGCGGCTGGGCTCGGAGCTGCTGGGTGTACCGCGGAGCCTTCGATTATGGCCAGGTACCGTGTGGGCGCTTTATGGGGACGATAACCTGAGAAGGAGGTGTGAGCACCTCGTTTTACAGGACAGGGAAGTAGGCTCAGAGATCGTAAGTAACCGGAGGCCACACAGCTAGGAAATGGCAGAGCCGGGCAGTAACAGACGGACACACCGGAGGAGGAAAAATAGGGAGGTGGGAGGGGAAGGGGGAGGGGCGGGAGAAATAGCCGCCTCTGCTGAGCACTTGTTCCAGCCACTCCTGGCCTGTTTAGCTCATCCCACTGACTTCTCACACTGACCTGGGAGACTCCCCCCATTTTGTTGATATGGAAACTGTGGCTTAGGGAAGCCAAACGCCTTGGGAGGCGGCTTATCCTCAGTGCCCTGGCTCCTGGGGAATCACCCTCCCTGGGGGACCCAGGGTGAGTAGAGAAACACTGAGTACCCCCACCCCCAGCCCTGCCCGGCCCCTTCTCCTCCAGCCCTCCTCAAGGAAGGACAGACAGCAGGCTCAGGTCCTGCCCAGGCACATGAGGGGGCCCCCTCGCCTGAGCAAGATCCAGGTCCACTTCAGAGTGTGCTGGCCCCTGTGGATGCTTCCAGAACAGGGGATGCGGGTCACAGCAGGGAGCCCCTGACCAGGATCAGTGTTTCATTCTGATCATTGCAGTCACGGGGACCTACCCATGGGGGCAACTGATCTGGTGGGGCCTGGGGCTCTGGCGTTTGGGGGTTCCCCACCACACCCAGCTTCGGGGAAGGTAGTGAGTGTTGTCAAGCTCGAATTCTAGCTCTGCCGCTCCCCGGCCGTGGCCTTGGACAAGTCTCTGCTTCTTTATACCAGTGGTTCTCAACCTGGGCTGCACATTAGGATCACCTGGGAATCTTTTTAAAATCCTGATTTCTGGGCCTCATCCTCCGGAAATTCTGTTTCTTTGTTATGGGTTGGGGCCACAACATTAGTAACAAAGACACAGAATTTCCGGAGGATAAGGCCCGGAAATCAGGATTTTAAAAAGATTCCCAGGTGATTCTAATGTGCAGCCCAGGCTGAGAATCACTGATTTATACACTGAAGGGCGAGCACAGGGCCATCATGAGGATCACATGAGTAAGAGCCAGGCACAGGTTCATTGACCCCAGGCACTCACACATTACCCACAGGTGCCCTCACTTCTGCCCACCCAGGAGGCTAGCCCTCAGCCCAGCACACTGAACCACAGGGGCCCAAGAGCCCTTAGCCATGGCATCAGTGAGCCTTCCCCACTCCTCTGGGCCAAGAAAGCTTCCAGAACAGCCGTGGGCAAACTACGGCCCACGGGCCGAATCCGG